TTTTTAAATGTATTCATCCATTGACATCACATCAAAAGCAGTCATGCTTTCATACTCAAAACTGAAAACCTGAGATTTTTGTGCTCTTTTTAATAACATCTGCATATCTGGCAAACTAGGCCCATAATCTCACAAGAAAACAACTCTGAAGCTGAGGAGCAGCTGCTGCACTTAGATGAAGTATACACTTGCCAGTCCATACAGTTCTCACTATTTGTCACTGTACTATATCAAGCTAGATTCATTCTTTTTCATTACCTGCCTGGTCTCTGTAGCATCTGATTAGAAACCAGACTGACTCTAAGTAGTGGAACCTGCAACCATTAATGGCAGAGGAGGCAGCTCCCACATAGGATAACTTCAGCAGACAAGGGCCCTGGGCTGCTCTCTGCCTCTCTGCCATGTCAGTGACCTGCTAATGTACTGTAGGATTACAACCTGATCCATACTACATTTAACTGCCTTTCTTAGGCTCCTTAACTTGTCTTAATACCTTGATCTGACTCCTACTTTCTGCCTCTGCTTGCTTCTACCTGCACTAAGTGTGCTCTGCCTGATCAGTACAGAAGAAAGATGAGTGCCTCCTCTCCTGAGACAGGTGGCCTGGTTTTGCTTTCTCAACTTTGACTCACTTCCTTATATTGTCATGATTCAGATTCAATACTGGAATTCAATTATAACATGTATTCCATCAGGAGCAATGGGCTTGCTGTGTGATGCTAAATGATGCCAATAAGATTACTATAGAAACTAGAAGTCCAAATACTTCAGGTATAGTAAATTAGTCACAGTCCTGCTCTAGGCCTGGGCTAGGATTTCACGGAGCCTCATTTTGAGACACTCCAGAAAACTATATAAAAAATTATGGTGTTTCCTTATCCAACAACAACAAAAAAGTTAACACCGATTTTCTAAAAGGTTATGGAATCCTGGTGTGGCATTATAGGATAAGCACCAGACTGCTAACCACAAAGTTGGTAGTTCAAGCCCACCAGCCACTCCTTGGAAACCCTATACAGGGTCACTATGAGTCAGAATTGACTCAGTGACACTTAACAGCAACAACAACAGAAAATATTTGTTATATCTACTAGCAGCAGAAAACAATGGAACCTTCCAGTTCATTGGTATCCACCAATTTTCCTGTAACGTGCTGCTGAAGAAGTTCCTAACTATAGGATGTCAAATGCATTATATCCTATATAAAACTGACTTATTATTTTCAGATGCCTATTCAGACATCTGGTAGCGTAGTGATTACGAATCAGGCTGCTAACCTCAAGGTCAGCAGTTTGAAACTACCAGCCGTTCCGCAGGAGAAAGATGAGGCTTTCTGCTCCCGTAAAGATTTACAGCCCCAGAAACCCTGTACAGGGTCACTATGAGTCAGAACTGACTCCACGGTACTTAACAACAACAATTCAAACATCATGTTTGTAAGTAAGCCTCTCCTCTCTCCCAAACACTGTATTCTTAGTTTCTGAGTACTTGTTCAAATAATAAACACAAGTAGACAAATAGAAAGAGTCCATAGTTATATCATTATGGAGTGTGGCTTTCTAGACAAAAGAAAAAAGTTTTCTTAGTAAACACCATATTCTTAATGTTAATCATTTTCAGTGTTGGAAGGTGTCATCATGTAGATTTCAACTCACAGCAATCCCATGTGACAAAATAGTCCTGTCCTACATGGTTTTCTAGCCTGTAATCTTTACAACAGCTGATCGTCAGGTCTCTCCAGAGGGGCCACTGAGTGGGTTCGAACTGCCAAGCTTTAAATTAGTAGCAGATCACGTAACCACTGTACCACCAGGACTCCTTAGGACAAAAATTAAGACAGGAATATGCCCATGTACATTTTCATCAAACCCTAAAAAAAATTAAGAGCACTATTTTGTAATGATGAGTTCTTTTTTAAGAGAAAAGTATTCAGTTTTTCTTTACTTGAATACCTGTTCAGAAATCACTTCTTTATTCTAAAGACCACTACTTCTCCCCACAGACATACCAGATGAAAAGTTCAGGTGTGCACACCTTAACCCAAGTGGGACAGATGTGGTCAAGTTGGTCTGGCTTAATTTGTAGGCCATAAAACATGGGACCTATTTTATGTGGACTAGAAAATTCAGAATATTTATTTCTCTTTTGGGTCACACTAGTTTCTGCTGGGTTTCTATTACCTGCAATTAAAAAACACTAACTAATACATAAATATTTTCCCACTGACTGGGCTTCTATGCAAATGATTTATTTAACCCAAGAGTAGCACCGAAATTCTGAAGTCAGGCTTCATTTTCAGAATGAATTAATCCCACCTCATATAAGATGCATATATGCTTAGAGTAAAATATTAACCAAACTCTTTTTTCCCCCATTCTAGTATCAGAGGATTCTACTTAAAACAGGTATATTTTAATATAAACTATGAGTGGATGACAGTTCAACACAATACAATAAAATTTCACTTTAGAAAACCAATATAGTAAGTTGTCAAATTCTATGCTATCTCAATAATTAATCAAAGTTTAAATTTTCCACCCCCCTCCCCCCTTAGAATGGTGAAGTAAACCTACTCTGAAAATTACTGGAACTAATTGAAACATTCAGCAAAGTGGCAAGGTATAGTCAATAAGATTCCTTTACAGTAACAAACACAATTCTTAAAGTAAATCATGTGAAAAAATAAATGCATTTACAGTAGCTACTCAAAAGATGAAACACTTAGGAATAAATCTAACCAGAGAAACAAAAGAAAAATACAAAACACTATGACAAGAAACCAAAAGACATACACATAAATGTTAGAATATACCATGTTCATGGGTAGGAAGAAATAACATTGTTAAAATATCAATAATACTCAACATGATCTACAGATACTATGCAATTCTAATTCAGATTCCAATATCACTGTTCATTGAAATGGAAAAACTAATCACCAACTTCATATGAAAAGGAAAGATGATTTCATGTTACCAAATTACATCTTCAAAGACCTTATTTCCACTCAGGATCACCATAAGTTAGGACTTCAACATATTTTGGGGGGTGTCCTGGCGTGGTGCTGGGGGTTAATGAACCAGATTGGCTTCAAACAAAGCCATTTGAACTGCAAGGTCAGAAGTTCAAGTTCACCAGTTGCTCCTCAGAAACCCTATACAGGGTTGCTACGGGTCAGAACTGACTCGATGGCACTTCATAACAACAAAAAGAACCCTAATTCAATTCACAATATCTGCTAATCCAGGCCTACTGAAAACCCACAGGATAACGTGACCAAAGCAGAAGGCAACCAGCTAACCTTAAATTATGACCAAAATCCTCATCTATGCCTTTGTCTTAAGGCTCCCTGTTCAGAACTTGCTCAGACACTGACCATAACCTAATCACTTGGATTTCACCTATCTGCAAAGTATTTACAGACTCTTCCCCAAATTTACAACTTCCCAGGGCATACCTTGCCAACATCAATTTTTTTTAAAAATACCATATAAACTGACTTAACTGGACTGTGGGTCTCTTTGTTTTTTGTTTTAAAGTTTTTATTGTGAATTGAGTGAAAGTTTAAAGGGCAGATCATCTATTTTACATTACACAAATCATATACTTTGTTTCATTACAATGATTATAATCCCCTCCATGTATTGTGGGTCTCTTTGGAACATCCCAATTCTTCAGGTGCCTGAGATCAAATGCTTATGTAAATAAAGAAAATGATTACACCCTATAGCATAAAAAACTCACTGCCATCAAGTTGATTCCACTTATAACAACCTTATCTAGGGTGTCCAAGACTGCAAATCTTTATGGGAAGAGAGAGCCTCATCTTTTTCCTAAGGAGCAGTTGGTGGGTTTGAACCCCAACCTTGTGGTGAGTAGGCCACACTTAACCCATGGTGCCACCAGGGCTTTTTATACCTTCTATCATGGCATGTTGTTGTTGTTAAGTGCCATCGAGTCGGTTCCAACCCATAGCAACCCTGTATAGAGTTTGAGCTCGAACTGTCAACCTTGTGGTTCAAACTGACTTTGCAATCCAGTGCAGTAACCCACAGTGCCACACCAGGATATGAAATCCACTTAAAGACCATTATCGCTCATGGATGCAGCAGTTCAGAAATCAAATGATATTACTGCATTAGGCAAATGTACTGCAGCCAACCTCTTTAAAGATGTTCAAGAACAAAGACGTCAATTTGCAGACTAAGGTGCACCTGACCCAAGCCATGGTATTTTCAATAATCTCATATGATATGAAAGTTGCACAATGAATAAAGAAGACCATAGAAGAATTGATGCATTTGAGTTACGGTGTTGGAGGGGAGTATTAAAAGTACCATGGACCACCAAAAGAACAACAACAAAAAAATCTGTGCTGGAAGAGGTACAGCCAGAATGCTCCCTAGAAGCCAGGATGGCCAGACTTCATCTCTCGTACTTTTGACATATTATCAGGAGGAACCAATCCCGAGAAAGACATCATGTTTGGTAAAGTGGAGAATCAGCAAAAAATAGTAAGATCCCCAAAAGACTGACTGGCAATTGGCATAATGGCAACAGCAATGGGCTCAAGCATAGTAATGATTGGGAGGCTGGCACAGGACCAGGCAGTGTTTCATTCTGTTGAGCATAGGGTCACTATGACTCAGTACTGACTTAGAGGCACCTAACAACAACAACAACAACTTAAAGACAGAAAGAATATTAGTCAATTCATAGGAGCCTTTCATCCCAATGACATTATTAAATAACAGTGATTGTTCAAAGGTATAATTTATTTATGCTAACTTAGAAGGAAATTAATTTTGAAATTACTTTTAAGACTACAACTTAACTTTTAGGCAACAAAGTAACAGAATAGATCTTCAAGCAATAAATATTTTTAGAAGAATGTATCATCTGAACAAAATACAAGCAAACAAGTCCTACAAATATTCAGAGTTCAATTATTAATTTAAAAGCTCATTTAGATTCTCATATTGATCATCATGTATTTTTACCTTGAGAAGGTATGTGGGGATATTGCTGAAATCCACTGGCAACTTCAAAAGAAAACGAGCTGAAAACTCACCAGTCTGTAGAAAGAAGGGTATAATAACACAATTAAAATAAAAAATAGCTGTGAAGTGCCAATTACAGCTCGGCCACAAGTTCAACCTGTTAAAGATGTAGGCATCTTCATATTGGGTTTCCTAACATCAGGCAAGAAAAGAAGGATCCAAAAGAATGATTAAATTATTAGTTATTAAAAGGCACAATTAGAATTTTTAAATCTACATATTAAATGTACAATAAAATTATAATGCAGTAGTATTAGCTTTTGTTCCTTAGAAGTATAAAAAAGAATACATGAATGTATGATTGATTTTTAAAAATTCAAACAACAGAGACAGAACTACCCCTTTGATTCATTTGACTAAAGCATTCAGACAACTTCGCTAATATTCATAACCCACAAGGGGATGATCCCTACCACCATCCTTTATAAAGTGTCTGGAGGAACATGCAGAGGTCAAACCCTACCCACATAAAGCAGTACATCAGCAGGTTAACCAAATAAGTTTTTTAACCCGATATTTTGTTAGTACCATATCATCAACCAATAATTTTCAGTAATTTCTACTATGAACTAATCTCCATAGGAAAGAAATACAGAAATTTGGTAAAGTATTTAATAAAGCTGTACATAAGAGCTTCTATTTTAAAGAGAAAATACATGTAAAAAATGTTCTCTCTCAATTTTAATGATGAGTAAGTTTAAGGAATCCCTTTTTAAAATAAATCTTGTCATAGTGTAAAGGAGGGGTTTTCCAACAAAGCTATGCTGAGATCTAGGGAATCCAAGAGCAATTAAAGGCATCAAGGATGGCTGCCATGCTAGTAGGCATCTCACTGTAAACACACAGTTCAGTTTTGGCTTTTGACATACAAGGGGACGTCAAAAAGGTCATGGAAAAAAAATGGAATGAAAAGATAATGAAATTTTCTCCAAGTTATAAAACAATACTTGGACATAACCAAACATGCTGAGGGAATGAGTCACTGGACCTCGGATGCTAAGGTAAATTGGTATAACATAGTCCACAAAGACAATGTTCTACATTCTACACTGGTGAGTAATGAGTAGGGTCTTGAAAGCTTGTGACTGGACATCTAAGCTGCAACTATTGGTCTCTCCTTTCTAAGGGAAAGAAGAGTGAAGAAAATCGAAGACTAATGGATTTGTCCAAAGGATTAGTGAACCATGGTAACATCAGTCTCTGTGATTCTAAGATCAGAATAATAAGATGGTGCCTGGCTACCACTACCAACTGCTCTAAAAGGGATCACATCAGAAGGGGGAGAAAATGTGGAACAAAACTCAAAATTATTAAAAAACAAGACCAGGCTTACTGGTCGAAGAGAGACTGGTGGAACTTTCAAGACTATGACCCTTGTTGTTATTGTTGTTGTTGAATGTCATTGAGTTGGTTCAGCCTCATAGTGACCCTGTATAACGTTTCCAAGGAGGGCTAGTGAGTTTGAAATGCTGACCTTGTAGTCCAGTGCTTATTCCACAGCGTGACACCAGAATGACCCATAGTCACCTTTTAGTCTTCCTTACCACCCTGGCTCAATTGTCAGCTAAACAATAGACCGGTCTAGAAGAGGAACAATAATACTAAGGAGTTAAGAATTCCTTAGAATAATCAACGGTTTGAGATCAAAAGGGCAGTATTTACCCAAGGACAAAGTTCAGAAGGGTTAGGAAAGAAAGAGGAATGGAAATGGGAAACTCAGAAAGGATGTAGGATAAGTAATGTTACACTGTGGTGGTTATAATCAATAGCATGAAATAAAATGCGCATGAATTGTTGAATAGAAAAACTTATTAACTCTGTAAACCTTCACCCAGTTCATAAAAGGTTTTGTAAAACTGGAGTTTTTCCACAAATGTTTTGAAGCCCCATCATACTGGCTTTCACTGTCACATTTTGTTTGAACAAAGAATTCCAAGGTTAATCTAGAAGGAGTAGATCTCTATCTATCCCATATTGTGACTACTAAAGTGTTCCCAATATCATCCTGGTTTTTCCTCCTTAAAAAAAGGAAAAAAAAAAAAAAAAAGCTACTGAGATTCTCCAAAACACATTTTTAAATCTAACAAGCATTTAGTAATATGTTTTAAATGGGTGGAAGGATGAACACACATGAGCACGCATGCACAGCTCTTACAGATGATTCAACGACAGTCACCATCCCTTTTCACAAACATCCTAGCAACTGGCTTCAAGGTTTTAGCCTTAATTTTTTTAAATTCTGATCTAAAGCCTTGAAAACACAGACAGAAATTTAACCTTGAGCTCAGAAGATAAGAATGATAACAACAGTTTTTTTGTTGTAGTTTTGTTTTACTGTTTACAACATCTTACATAAATCCCTGGCTTAGAACAGAGCACTTGTTCATCACCACAAGCCCAACCTTAAATAGAAAAGGCAGAAATAAGAGCCTTGAATGTACAGGATCAAAACTGAGACAGGCCACAGAAGGGCACTGAAAGCACTCTGCTACTGGAATGCCAATGGTGAGAAACAGGATTGGTGCTTACAGCTCAGCTGTGCTCAGGATTGCTGCTGTTATTACTGTTGGGTCTATGTTTAGTTCTGCTTTACTCATGATGGAACACCAATATGTGCAGGTCTCCCACAATTTAACACTTGAGGGAATATTTAAGAGTCATCTGAGGATCCACAAATAGCTCTGAATGGGAGGTGGGGGTAGCAAAGGAGAAGATTTGTGAAAAATTCTAACATAGTTCTTGTCTTCTATAGTACAGGATTACCAGAAATGTTTTTTGTGTTATGTAAAGCTTCGGAACATCTAGAATTAGCATACCATGATAAGTGTTTCTTTGAGTGTTGATGCAGTCAGACCTAAAAAAAGAGTCTGTGTTTAAGTACAAGGGATCATACTATAAAATGGATACGCATAGGAACAACTTATAGCAGTATAGTGTTACATAAGAGCTTATAAGAGGGGCACCTAGCCTGGAGGAAGTGTGAAGGCACAAGGAAGAGAAAAGTACAGTCTTCTCTTAGTGCTGTATTCAGCGCTAGAGGAATGAGCACTCATCAAAGAATACATGTTCCCAACAATTGTCCATTCTTTATTCACTTCCATTAATATACAAACATCATTTAAAAAAGAAAAAAGGAAGTCTTCCTTGGCTCCATATCCCCTTTCAGCTTCCATTAGATTTCTCTGTTCCATTTTAAAAAAGAGTCTCCCGGTTCGAAACTACCAGCTGCTCCGCGGGAGAAAGATGAGGCTTTCTACTCCCGTAAAGATTTACACCCTCGGAAACCCTGTACAGGGTCGCTATGGGTCGGAACCGACTCGACGGCACTTAACAACAAGAATGAAGAAGTCTATATTTGAGGTCTACATTTCTTCTATTATTCTCTTCCTACCACTCATTTCCTCCCCACCATTTTACCAAACAGCTCATCAAGGTCACTAATGACCTCCTTATTGCCAAATCCAATGGCCATTCCTCAGTCTCACCTTATTTATCAGCAGCATTTTGACATAGCTGATCATGCCTCTTTCATAGAATATTCTCTTCATCACTAGGGTCCCACTCTTGGTTCTTCTTTATTTGGCCCTTCTTGTATTCACCCCAACTTCTAAATCCTAGAGTATGCTAAGGCTTAACCCTAAAAACTCTTTTATTAATCTTTGATTCCCCAAGTGATCTCATCCAGATTGATGACTTTAAATACTACTTATAAGCAGATGACTCCTAATTTTAAGGTTCCATACCAGACCTTTTCCTCATTCATTGCATTTACCCAATTACCATGACCAAAACCAAAGATTTGTGTGCTCTTCCCTCAGTAGTTATGCCTCATTTCAGTATGGCATTGATTCTTTCAGTTTCTTAAGTTAAAATTTTTAGAATCATCTTTAACTCCTATCTTTCTTTCCACACAAATTGTCAGCAAAGCCTGTTGTCAAAATATATCCAAAGTCCAAACACTTCTCACTACTTCTATCACCACTGGTCTGCGCCAGCATATGTCTAGCCTGCTTACTGTAATCACCTCCCACCTGCTCCAGCCCTTGTTCACTTTCAGTTCATTTTCATCACACTAACTGGAGGGATTCAGATTAAGATACTCCTTTGCATCAAACTAATAGTGGGGATTTAGGTCCTCTATAGAATAATCTAAGAAGGGGGCATTTGTGAGGCAGCTGAAGAAGCAAGACATGTGGGCTCTGGAGGAAAAATTCAAACAGAGACATAACAAATGCAAATGTTTGGTGTATAAATATTGGGGGCTTCAAAACGTTCGTGGGAAAATTCCATTATCTTTTAATTCCATTTTTCCTTGAACATTGTGAAGCCCCCTTTCATGCCTGTATTTAAAGGAATAGCAAGAAGGCCAGTGTTGTTATTGGAGCAAACAAACTCCACTCCTGATCAAAAGTCACCCAGGAGCTCTTCTCTTCACAGTGTGAACAATTTCTAGATTCCTGTAGGATGTACAACTATCATTCTGGGTAAAACCAAAGATCAGATTAGTGAACACTGAAATGGTTACTATAAGTCTGTGGAACATTAGGATGTCATTCCTGAGTTGTTGAGTTGTTGTTGTTGTTAAGTGCCATCGAGTCGGGTGTTGTTGAGACAGGTCTTTAAAAAGCATGATGAAATTAGATGAGGTTACGGAAGGGAGTTAGTAAGATAGAATGATAAATCAAAACTTAATTCATTTCTTCATTTTCAATTTGTAAGGAAAACCAGCTACAATGAATAAATGGTCATTTATACCTACTAGTATAAAATGTGAAGTCCTGATGTGGCGCTGTGGGGTAAACACTGGACTGTTAACCACAAAGTCAGTGGTTCAAACCCACTAACTGCTCCATGGAAATCCTATATAGGATCGCTATGAGTCTAAATGAACTTGACGGCACTTAATAATAACAAAGTGTAAAATGTTATTTTGTACTATCCTGGTGGTATAGTGAGTTAAGCATTGAACAGTGCTAACTGTTCAAAACCACCAGCTGTTCTTCATGAGAACAATT